TTTCACGAGGCCGTAGGTGATACCCGAGGGCGCAGGAACGCTGAACTTGAATACGCAGAGTCGAGCGTGGGCAGGGGGTCATTACCCCAAAATTTCAGCTTTGTAGACTTCGTGATTCCAGAGATAATAATTTACCCGTCAAAAATTTTCACGGGGCGTAATTGTTACCCGCGGAAAGGGGAAAGCTGAATTTAAGCTTTCTGAGTAGCACATGGGCGGGGGACATGGTCACAAAATTTCAGCCTTCTACCTTCTGTGGTTCCCGAGATACTGATTTTACCCGAAAAACTTTTACGGGTCCGTACGTGTTACTCGAGGATACGAGAAGGCTGAATTTAAATCTGCCGCGTCACCCGCTGGCGGGGAACACTCTAATTAAATTTCAGCCACCTAGCTTTTGTGGTCCTCGAGTTGAAAGTGCGCGACACACACAGACAACCCTGTGACAATATGCGTTTTGTACTGCTGTTACGCAGCACAAAACGCAAAAAAAGAAAACGCTTACTGGCTCGACGCAGCCAAACTTAAGATACAAATTACGGTAGCCAAACTCGAGCAGGTACATTTCTGGATAATCCATTTGCGGGTAATTGTGGTAATTCCGAATGCGATCGCACCCTCGTAGCTCGTTGCCCCTGCAACAAGAAACATGCAGCGGTGGTAAAACAAATTATTACAATAGCACGATTGCTGCAAAAATACAAAAACAGTGGAAAAAATACATGTGGGGGGCTCGGGCATGCGAGAATTCACAGTAGAAAATTGGTTTTCTGGAGACGAGACGCTGTCGCTGCTCGGTATCGGCAGGGAAGAGAACCTCTTCGATATGCGCCGGATCGAAAAGATTGATCGCACCCTGGAAGCACAGCAAACACATTTGCCTCTGATGATGAATTGTGACTGGGAAGCAGAAATAAAGAGACACAATGAAAAATTTACTCGAATGTGTCCTCCGTTGTATTCATATGGGTAGCGGCAGTCAATCAGAAGAAATTTTCGCGAGAAATTTTCCTCGCCCAATGAGCGCCACAAGTCAATAAGTGTACTGGCAGTAATGGCTGCGTAGGCGCACGATGAAACCGAAGGATGCAGAACAACTGGCAATTCGTAATTCTGGAAGAAGTTACTTACGTTCCTCTCTCGCCTTTAGAGCAGTGCAGTTCCGCTTCATTGCAAAATATGATCACTTACAACTGGGGGACAGAGTGCCAGATCATTCGGCTCGCTGCTTTCTCGCGCCTCCAGAAAACTTGAAGAAAGCGATTTCTGAACGGACACTCGAAGCGCACCTCCACTGCCAGACAATGCTCTCGCCCCAGCAATATTCTGAACATTTGTAAACTTGAAAAGCCCGCCGCACAGAGCACTAAGCCACCAAACTATTGTAACAGGTCATCCCGAAGCACTATTACTAATAAAACGTGTGTGTATGTCCGTGGGTTTGTTGTGATTTCTCCGCATAGCTACCTAATTCCTTGCAGCAATATGCAACTTTATAGGATTTTTCAACACGAAAAGAGACGCCATTCCTTACGTTGCCCCTGATACTCCATGCGCAGAAAGCTCGCCCATCGATTTCTCAAAAAACTCTCCTTCTGCCGGTGCTTGTCAGCAACCAGCTCCTACACAACAACCACTCGTCATGCTAATTATTAAGCATGGACAATGCATTGAGCTCGGTAACGCACGCCATTCTTATACCTATCGCATCAAGCATTCTTACACCTACTTTTTCTATAGCTTGCTCAGATATAGCGATCAGCTGCTTCTAGCTTTTTGCACTGTTAACCCGTTCCGGTACTCTTTCCACGAAATTTTGCGTCATTCAGGCAATTTCCACGCTCTCTGAATCCAGTGTGGCACCTCATCCCAATTTATTGAGCAAGAGATTGCTAAAAGACAGCCGCCTTGCCACTGTCCGGTATTATAATGCGCAATTTTTGTCAGACCACTAAATGAACAGAACAAAAAATATGGTTTATACAGTTTTCAAAGAAAATCCCAGCGAATTACCTCAAAATCCGTCTGCACTGGGGTTTCAGGTCTCTCCTCCGTCGGCGTATCCTCCTTCGCCTTCTTTACTGTTGTACTTTCCACGGGGTCTGCTGTGCGCCGTTTGTGGACACGGGCTCCGGTATTCTTCGACCCTGACACTGGTGAGCCCTCTTCTGACTGATCGGTGTCTTGTAGATGCGTTCCAAAGCTTGATTCACTTTCCATGGGTTCGTCGTCGGCGCGGGATTTTTCAACGGCGCTGCGATCCCGCTGAGCCAAACTACGTCTAAATACATGCTTACACAGTCCAGAAATGCCGCTCAGATTGACTGTTTTACCCAGAATCTACTCACCGAACAGTTGGCAGCATGCGCCAAAGTTTCGTAGAACCGCTGCCGCGTGTATTCTTCGAGCGATTCTTCCCTCGGAGCACCCGTCTTCGGTACGAATGTGTCCCGTACAAACTCGACTGCACACTTTTCGTTCCTTCTGAATCATCTGAACGAATCGAGCTACCGGAAATGTCCGTCAGTTTGCCGAATGAGAAGCCAGAAGGCGGTGTCTGTAGGTTCCGATAACCTGAAAATAGTGATGAGGGGAGAGAGTGAGCTGCTGCTGCCTGTCGCAGCAATGATTGTAAAAGCAGCAATAAAACCAGGCAGACTGAATGGCTTTTTCGCTGCGCTGGAATCTGAATGAGAACGCATGAACGATTCGCCACACTTCGCAGCCATTGTCGCACGATGTTCAAGCTGCGGCTGCCTGCAAAACGAAACGCAGAAGCTGCAGGATGAACGTGAACGAGCCCCAAGTACAGGCATGCACGAAATAAAGTTGCAATGCTCAATCATCAGGCATGCTGCAGCCCAGAGAGGGGCAAATGCTCTGTGGCGCAATTTTGCCCTGTCTCCTTTCCCATAAATAATTCACGGTACTTACGCATTTTCCGAGCCCTCATCCGGGACGCTGACAGCACGATCACCGGAAGCTGTGACATCCTGGTCCAGCAAGTCACGCTGAAAACTGGTAGTTCCAGATTGCAGAAGTGTTCAGTTCCAAATATAAATAGAGTGAATGTTACCGGGTTCGATGATTCGATGTCCATTGGTGAAAAGTCAGTAATAGCTGTGTCAGTACGGTCCAGAGCCGATGCACCGTTGTTGCCTTCTGCGCTCCAGAACCAGTTAGTGAAAAAGCTCTCCTGAACGTTACTCCCGTGAATGCAGATAACACTTTTGTTCCCACACACGGCATCTCACTTGCAACACTCCTCACAATTCGAGCTCTGCGCATCCGCTTTGCCGAACATTTCTGCGAGCGCGCATCAGCAGAGAGAGCTTGCGCGCACGCTGACCAGTGAACAGCGATTCTTTGGACATCTGATAATTAGACGATCAGTGAAGTGCATCTACACACCCTCGAACTGTTCAACTATGAACAAAAATGAAATAGCCAGCGCACCAACTGCCAGTGCAAAGATGCGTTTTTTGCATAGTCCCTCGCAAATTTTTGCAGCTGACGGCACTATTTTCCCGGCAGATGCTTCTAGCTAAAAGAATTTCAGACTGGCCACCACGACTGTCAGAAAACATCCCTTTAAAATTCCTGGCTTCCGAATTAGCAACTTACCGTAAAAAATTTTCACTGGCTAGTACGTGAGGACCACATGCAACTAGGGGCAGAGCATGAAGTCACTAGGTTCTAAATGGACCGGGGAAATCCCCCTAAAATTTCAGTCTTCTAGCTTAACAGGCTCCCGAGTTAGCAACTTACGCGAAAAAAATGTTCACGGGCCCGTACGTGGGAACCACGCACACCCGGGAGCTGGGTTTGAGCTCATTAATACCTATTTGGATAGGGAAAGCTCTTAAAATTTCAGCTTCCCAGTTTGTCTGGTTCTCGAGTTATCAGCTTGTCCGTAAGAATTTTGGTGAGTCCGTACGTAAGCACCACGCGGGTAATGAGACCCACATATTCATGTAGACCAAGTCCCCAATTTTGAGCTGTTTAGCTTTTGTAGGTCTCGAGATGAAAAATCGGCATAGACGAACACACAGGCACACATACAGACATACATACACCCAACCCCTCGTCAATAGGCGTTTTCTGCACTGCATAGATGCCAAAAAACGCATAAAAATGACCACGTGGACAACGTTCTAGGTGTCTCCGCATCGCCAATGAGCACTGCAGCGCCACAAACAGATGAACTGAAGAATCGCAACGGTTGCAGAGAGAGGGGCGAAGAAAGAATGGGCAAAAGTGCACGCCAGAAGAACCACCAGCAGCAGCAGCAGTAGGCCGGGTTCAGACAGCCTCAGTGGCACGGGAAATACGACAAGCACTGCTGTCAAAATGCGCATTTTGGAATAAACTGGCGGAGAGGAGGTTCGAAGGTCGGCCTCGACATCCAGGACAATAGAAGAGGTCCAACCCTCAATCCACAGCACTGCCTCATCTCGCATCGCCCGAGAAAAGCAGTTCATAAATTCAAAACTGCCGCTTTCCCCACAAACCTGGTGCGAATGAAAACCAAGCGTCCCAAGCCACCGCGGGCCGACCAGGTCAGTGAGCGGGCACTCTTCCGGGCAGTGGTCGGCTACTCTCCTGGGCAGTGCGCTCGTTAAACTCTAAGGGCTGGCAAACGTCCATGTCCCGGTGGCGAGACGCCGCTCATTTCAGCGATCGTCGGCCACAACCAAGAGAGCAGCCATTAACGAGGCAGTTACAAAAACTCGGCTCGGCTCGGCCGGAATCATACACGATCTGCGAGATTTCTTCTGTCGACGGTTGGTTGGACTGCCCGTGGCAAATGCCCAGAGTTTGAATGTGGTAGGTGAGACGAGGAGTGGTATACTGCGAGTTCTGTTCGATGCTGGGGAAGAGGCTGAGATAGGTGGATTTGATGGCCAAATGGAGTAGATCCTTTGTCGGTTGGCTAGATCATGTACACTAGGGGAAGGAGGGGTGGTGGATAAAGGGATGAGGAATTGTGCTCCTGGTTTTGGCCGAGGATACCCGGAATAGGGAAAAAGCTGAAATATTGCTTGCTTGCAGATTTCTCTTATAGTAGCGATGGAGTGGAGCTCAGATGTTGCTTTACGGGCAAGATTTGGAAATAGGGTAGAGAAGGGAACAAGTCACGAGCTCGAGGCAAGAACTAGGGGCTGCAGTAAGGAGGAAAAGGCAACACAGCACTACAAAGAAAAGAAAACTAAAGCGAACCCTGCGTCTATGAATAAAAACAAAGTAAAAAAACTCCGAACCTATGAATAAAAAAAAAAATGAGCCTGTGCTGGTTGAAATGTTCTATAAGAACGCGTCTTCAGTAGGGAACTTCTCCGTTTATGAATGTGATGCTTAAGTGTGTAACTGTTGTTGCACAGTTACAGGTTGCCGAAAATAGCACATTGGAACTGTGTGGAACTGTTGTATAATCTAGTCGGACGTATTCGCCCCAAGCTTCAGCTACGTATCAGCTTCATAAATAGGTAAACCAATTATTGAAGGCGAATTTTTGTAAGACAATTTCCACTCACATAAACTCAGCTTTTATTTGGTTTTGCTTTTACTCATTGGTTCCAGTTCTTTGATTTCGCATTTCTCCTTTATTCACAAGTCCCGGATTAATTTACTTTTCTGTGTAGTGCTGTGCTGTCTTCTCCTTGCTGCTATCTGCAGTTCTTACTTCGAATTCCTAACTAATACGGCTTCTGCACAGCGGCTAATCACCACCTCCATCCACAACTCCACTACTATCCCCCTAACCAGATCGTACAGTCACCCAGGCCTGGGTAACACCACTCTGCGCCGTTGGCAAAATGCCGAGCGGTGCCGGCAAGCGACGTCTGGAAATACCGTTAGCAAAGAAGCGAGGGGGCTCTCAGAATAGCTGCCCAGCCGAACCGAGCGGAGAGTTTTCGTAACTATGCGTTTTTGCCAACAGGCAGCAAAAACCCATACTGCAACGACCCTGTCAGAGTGTGTGTGTTCGTCTGTCTGGGTATTTCAACTCGCCAACCACGCAAGCTTTGAAGCTGAAATTTTGCCAGTGCGTTCCCCAGCCAAGTGCCACCCCAGGACCGCGGTATCAACTCTCACGCACGTCTGGGCCTCGCGTACGAGCATGTGAAAGTTTTAGCGAGAAAATTGCTGACTCGGGAAACCAGGAAAGCTAGAAGGCTGAAACCGTAAGGGAAAGTCCCCTACTCGTGTATGACAAAAATCTTTCAAATTCAGCTGCCTAGGACTGCCTGGGGCTTACGTATTGAAATTATGGTGGGAAAATCCATAACTCGGGAATGAGGAAAGCTAGAAAGTTGAAACTTTGGGGGATGTTCAATACTCATGCACTTTTCAAACTCAGCTCCTTAGGACCGCCTGGGGCTCACGTACGGGCACGTGAAAATTTTGGCGCGAGATTAACTTGGGGACGGGAAAAACTAGAAAGCTGAAACTTTATGGCAATGTCCCCTACTCATGTACGAGTAAAATCAGTTGTTTAGAAGCACCCAGGGCCCACGTACGGGCACGTGGGAATTTTGGCTCGAAAATCACTAACCCGAAAACGGGAAAATTAGAAAGCTGAAACTTTCGGGAAACGTTTCCTACTTATGTACAAACGAAATCAGGTGCACAGAAACACCCGGGGTCCACGCTCGGGCATGTGGAAATTCTGGTGCGACAATCACTAGCCGAGGAACGAAAAAAGCTAGAAAGCTGAAACTTTAGGACAATGTTCCCTACTCATGTATGACCAAAATCTTTTAAATTCATTTCCTTAAAATCGTCCCGTAATCACGTACGGACACGTGAAAATTTTAAT